TCTCTCATGATCTTCCAAGGATGATGCATAGATAACTATGTCATCAAGATACACGAACAGGTCAACACCTTGGAGACCAGTTAATACCTGATCCATCAGACGTTGAAACGTCGCTGGTGCATTCTTTAGACCAAAAGGCATTCTGGTATAATGGTAATGACCATTAGGGGTGGAGAAAGCTGTTTTAATTTTATCTTTCTCGTCCATGGGGATTTGGTGGAACCCAGAGGCGAGGTCAAGGACTGAAAAGTACCTTGCACCTCCCAGCTGGTCCAGAATATCAATAATATTGGGAAGAGGATACGCATCAGAGATTGTCTTTTCGTTAAGATTACGAAAATCAATCACCATACGCCACCTCTTATTTCCCGCTGAATCAGCCTTTTTGGGAACTATCCAAATCGGAGAATTATATGGAGAAGATGAGGGTTCAATGACATTCGACGCAAATAACTCTTTAATCTGTTTTTGGATTTCTTCCTTATGAATTTGGGGAAACCGATACTGCTTTGTGGAAATTGGAATTTCATCTATTGTTGGAATTTTGTGAGTCATTACATTCGTTCCCTGTAAACGGTCACCTGGAAGCTGGACTTGATAGGGGAATTTCGCGAATATTCTAAGAATACTATTTTTTTCTTCAGTATTGAGGTTTTCTAGATGAAGACTATTCGCGAGTCTTTCCATTCGTTTTTCAATGGATTCTGTCTCGATCGAGTAACATGTCTTGATTGGTTTTTCTGAACAATTTTCAATTTCGTCAATATATTGCGCTGGAATGTTGAGCTCTCGTTCCTCCTCGTTGCAATTAATTATATAAATCCACATAATTCCTTTATTATTTGTAACTAGAGCCTCTCCTCCATATAAATTTTCCCCCAAATTTAATCTAGGCAAGTACCCTTTTTTTACTTCAGTATTCAAAACCTTGATTCCCACCTTTTTCTTGCAACGAGCAGGAACTGTTACTCTAGTTTGCATTAGTGGAATAGAAATTCCTTTATCATCGATTCGCAAACTACTATCAGAGAAGCAAAGCGTTGCTCTCTCATCTCGTAAAAATTGCGCACCTAATATACCGTCATATTTGATGGGGAAATCTGCACGAATAATTTGGAAATTGCATTTAATGGAATCAAACGTGATCTGAGCCTCACCAATTGTTTCATCTGACCCTGGGGTGATTCCTCTCAATACGAAACGTTTGTCTCTATTAATTTTAATACCTGGTTTTAATGCACTTTCTTTCAACAAATTAATATCGGCCCCAGAGTCGACAAGGAGTCAGTTTTTCATATTCAATAAATCATCACTGGTGATAGTCACACATGGGAGCGTCGTTTGCTCTGCTTGATTAAAATTAATTGATGCTTTTTGAGGAGGATTCGGTGAACTTGATTGGAAATTTTGTGCATTTGCATTACTAGAATTACCGCGACGACAATTACGTGTTGAATGCCCCGTCATCTTGCAATTAACACAATATCCCGGCTGAAACTTGCTGCGACATTGGTTCATCATGTGACCCAGTTTCCCACACGCGTAACAAATTCTCTGATTCTTAAATGAATTATCTGAATTCTGAGATTGAGTCTGCATAACATTGACTCTAGCAGGAATGTGTTTCTGTGACCGATTCTGCAGATTATACGGACCGTGATTTTTGAAATGACGATTGTGATAATTTTGTGAATTGTTTGGAATAGCATGATTCGACTGATTTTGTGAGTCGTGTGAAATTTTGGGTTGTTCATGCTTGAAGAGATCGTTGCGTTGTTCAATCTCTTTTTGTTTTTCAATTGCAACTTTTACTGCTGCCTCAAAGTTTACCGGTTTTTCATTTGAAACGTGTGAACTCAATTCACCCCTCAAACCGCGAATAAAACTATCCCGAGCTCCCTCCTGTGTTGTAGCTAAAACCCCGACTGCAACGTCCACTGGATACTTCTCTTGAACTAATTCTGTGATACCCTGAATCAAAACATTGATCCTTGCCACGTAATCAATAATTTTTTCATTAGATTTCTGATGAACATTTGCAAGTAGCCCTTGCCACTGAGATAATGTCTGGCGGGGTGCGAAAGCTTGTTTCAAATTAGCAAAAATACCATCAAGGGTCAAAGTAGCCTGATTCGCGATATATTGACTGGCTTTTCCCGAAATTTTTGATTTTATCAATTGTGTGAAATAAATTTGGTGAGACGCAGGTGCAAGCGAGACTGCTTGTTTGCACAAATCGATAAAATTGTTTACTGGGATGTTCTCTCCATTGAAATTTGGGATAAGATTTGAAATATCTCTTATAGACACTGAAGGCATAGATTCTTGGACGCTCAAACCCATTTGATTTACTAATCCTGATCCCGATGACATACTACTCGTATTATCACTCACATTATCGTTAACTGGATTTAATAAGTCTCTAACATTGTTTGCAGGTGCAGATTCCCCCTTTCTAGACGCTCTTCTATTTCCTCCTCTAGTGGGTGGCATGTTTATTTATTTTAAATATTTCTCAAAATACTAATTATTGCAAAATATACTAAATTTAATGCTTCTCTCTTCTTGAAATCAAAATAATTAACTATAATTTATTGTGCTCTCTAAAAAGGGCTGGACAAGGCTGCGGCCTCTAATCAGGTGTATTCCTTTACTATTCAGTAAAACCGCAGAAAACCTGAACAATACCCTGAGATGTCCATCCTCAAATAATAATACTTATTACTAGACTTACAACTTTTCTTTATTACAGTTAATCCAATTTGTTCTTTTGGTTCACTCGATTTTCACTTCAATTCACTATTAATTGCCCTTAATTTTCATTATTTCACTGCACTTTATCAGCTCGAAGGAACTGCGTTGACTCCTCCACTGCAATTGCCGGAACTCTGCTTGGCTCGACTCCTCGGTCTCGAAGTGGGCAGGAAAATTATTTTGAATTTCAAAAATTCAAAATTGTGATTCGATGGATGCGGCAATCCCACCGCTGTCACCAATTGTTATGTCCTACCGAAGTAACTAGGAGGACAGTAGCGCCAATGAAATTTAGAGCGCCAATTTTTGACTGTAGATTCGTTTGCCGCCAAAGCTCTGATGAGCACTCCATCGAAGTCCAATTGTTTAATCCCAGAATATTTGGTTGGAAGGGTTGAATTGTGAAATAAATTCAACACAAGTGCTTAAGAGAGCACACAAACACTTTTATTCAAAATACTTCAACTTCAGACTTTAAACTTTGCACTACAAAAAAAAAAAATTTAATAAACTCTAGAAAAACTCTACTGAAAAACTATTTGAAGAGAGAAGCTGGAAGCTGAAGGCTTCACCACCAATTTCCACGATGGAACTGACTTAAACTTAAATTTAACTCCAAGGGTTGGGTCCGCAACCCCACCGGACCAAAAGTTGCGCGCGCAATCCTGGCCCAGGGGAGAGGGAAAAGTGAAACTCAAGGAAAAGCGGGGAAATGAAAAAAAAGGGGAAGAAGGGGAGCGTGTGACGTCGTGAAACTTCGTCGCGAAGGGTCTCAGGCCCTCAGCCTAGCGAAACAATGAACAATGGAGAGCCCACACGTGTTAGTCACGTGAAACAGAGAACCTTTCGAAATAACCAGAACTGAGATTTTACGACATGGGACCGTAACCGTTAAATTTATTTTCTTCTCTAAATTTGGATTTTCGAGGAAAGTGTTTACTCAACGAGAATTTGGAGGGTTGTAAATTATAAGAGCAAAACTCAAGTATTTGACATTTACTATTTCCGTAACGGTTTTTCTCACGCTTGCGATGCTGTTTTTCGTTCTCTTTGTCCATTGTATTCCAGACTTTCTATATTCTTCTATTTCTGGTATATTTTTAATTTCCTGAACTATTTAAATTATTTTCCAACAATAATTTGAATCTCGCGGACTATTATGGCCGATTAATAGCGCCATCTATAAATTTCAACGTCAAGACATCACATATTGATAAGTAAAAGATCCACTGAAATGTAGTATACTACATTTCAGTGAAAAGATCCAAATTGTTAAGGATGCCAAGTGGGTCAAGTGCACAACTAAATGGATAATTTTTTCAAAAACCTTGCATAATAAATTTTGTTAACTTGATTAATTCATCTCGCCAATTTATATTCAAATTGAGTTGGGATGTAATACATGTAAAATTTTCTTTTTCTTTTTTCGACCAAAAAATATTTGTTTTATTGACTAAATGGTGATATCCGGTGGGAATCATGGCAACACCGCTGCTGTCAGCTGATGGTAGAGGCGCGAGGGTTTGTTGATATTCGAACGTGTGTTGGAAGTTATACATGCCTGTGAACAAACCATGGCCTCAGACAAAAATAAAAATTTATTGCGTGACAAAAGGGGACAGTTTATCTCCTAAAAATGTAAAATTCTGTTGGACATTTGGTTAGCCATATCAAGATCCATTGAAATGATTTCCCGAGATGAGTAGATCCTGAGACCAATGTTCTTTCGCGCAATTCTTTTGAAATTCAATTATAGACACCATTCGAGTCTCATTGATTGATAATTACGTTTGAAATCCTAAAATTCACTTTGAAAAAACATTCATCGTGATTGACAAGTAGGGTTGTGTTGACGGGGGGCGTACAAAAGCGGAGTAAGACAGCTGTGTGCGCTGTTTTCGCGTATCATCCATTTTGCTACGAGCGATTTTTTTCCCCGGAAGTGAGTCGAAAAATTAAGATTTCGTTCTTATTTGCCCCGGTTCCTCTGATTTCGCCCGGATCAATCGATTCAGCTTTTTTTTTTACATTTTTTCCATATTTTTCGGGATTTTTCATGAATCTCTAAATTGGCCAATCTTTTATTTTAGTGCATAACCTCATAAGAGCCAATGCTGGATCTTCAAATTTTGTTTATTTAAATTCTCAATTAATACCGGTTGAAAGGTCAAGATTGTCATCTAAATTTTTGTAATATTTCTCGCTATTACAGGAAAAAAAATTGAATTTCTGTTGATTTATTAAACATTTTCACTTGGCACCCTTAATAATCCATATAATTTAGGAGTATTTGGAATATCACAGTGAGTAATTGATTGTCGTATTATTATTATTATTCCTGAGAAAACCTGAATGTCAACAATTTTATCCAATAGTCGCTTGCGACAAATGAGTCACTTGCGGAAAGTGAAACATTTTAGTGAATTGTCGAAACAGGGAATAACGGAGATGATCCCATTATCACACTCACTGACGTGAATCCCCTGCACCGCTGCCAGCAATGCCGACGTAAGTGTTGATGTATTCTCTACTCTCCTATGATCTGTCAATTTCACTGTCTAATGGATGTTTAATTTTATTCACTAGCCTGGGACAGGGAGGCATGTGCGCGTGAAATTCTCATATTAAATAAACTCAATGATTTCCTAGAGTATCAAGATGAATGGAAAAAACGATCGAAGAAGGTTAAAAAGGGCCTGGATCCAAATTTATTTCCTGCTCTTCCTGTAACTACGCAAATGGACCTCCTACAACTCAATCAGGATTTAACTGAGAGTGATACGCATCGTGATGAGTTTGTGGATGTTAATAATTATATTTGTTTATTGAAGAAACAATTAATTCTAATTAATCCTAATCCATTCAATGGTGTTCAGGCTAATTCACTGGAAGATGTAGGGGGAGACTATAAACAATTGGTGAACAAAGCAATGAGCAAAGTGATGACTAATGATGTAGGCCGTGTCTGTTGTTGGAATGGTATAACTCAAGGATCATTAAAATTCCAAGGGACTACAGTGGCGGCTGCTGTACTGGGTAATTATGCCTATTTCTTCATACATTAATTGTTAGAGAATAATTATAATCATATATTAACGTTCTCTATTGCTATTAATACAGAGGTAGTGAAGGAAAGATACAAAGAACTTAACACGTTTTATACCAATGAGGCAATTGGGCTCGCTAAATAAGAAAACGCCACCTAGGGTCTAAGGCGCATGGGCACTCACACACACAACACAACCAAATTTTGGGTTTCTGTAGGCGCGTATATGAGTGCCGAAGATCGACGGGGGGGGGGGTCGTTTGTACAATCTCAGATGGACAAATTCCATTTTGGACACGATCTGGGGAAAATGGCGGCGGCACGAATCTGCGCAGTACAGATGGACACGAAAATTTATGGACAAATTCTCAGATGGACATATTTTGATGAGTCGGTTAAACAGGGCTCGGTATTGCAGGTATCCTTAGCAAATGTCTCAACAGTTGTAATTTTAAGTGCAGCGCCACGCTGAGAGATGGCGCCATTATTCTCATTTTTAATGGAATGACCAGAGATTATAGGGGAGACTGCCAGCGCTTATGTAGAAGCTTCAACCGCAAAATTTTGTAGCGGCGGTGCATGAGCCCGGAGGGGCTCCTCAGATTGGAAAATTCATTTCTTCCCCCCTAATTGCGATGAAGGAATGAAAGCAACATCTATCGATCGAGAATTGTATTCTCAATAAATAACAGCGGGTTCGTTCTTTAATCTCTATTAGGAGAGGAGGAATGAATTTTCAAAGCGCGCAGTAACTCCGGACAAGTTCTTCTCATTCAAAAATTAATTTCTCCCCTCCCTAATTGAGATGAAGGAATCAGACCGAAGCCTATCGATCGAGAATTGTATTTTGAATAAATGACAGCGGTTTCATTCCTTAATCTCAATTAGGAGCGGAGGAATGAATTTTCAACGACCCGTGCTTCTCATTCAAAAAGTCATTTCTCCCCTCCCTAATTGAGATGAAGAAATGAAACCGATGTCATTTATTAAAAATACAATTCTCGATCGGGTGGGCTTCGGTTTGATTCCTTCATCTCAATTAGGGAGGGGAAAAATTAATTTTTGAATGAGAAGCACTTGTCCGCAGTTACTGCGCGCTTTGAAAATTCATTCCTCCTCTCCTAATAGAGATTAAGGAATGAAACCGCTGTCATTTATTGTGAATATAATTCTCGATCGATAGATGCTTTCATTCCTTCATCGCAATTAGGGGGGGAGAAATTAATTTTCCAATCGGTGAAGCCCCTCCGGGCTCACTCGACGCCGGAGAACCGTTCGGGGTTACTCCGCAGTTTTGAAAAGTCATTCCTCCGCTCCTACTTGAGATTAAGGAATGAAACCGCTGTCATTCATTGAGAATTTAATTCTCGATCGATCGGCATCAGTTTCATTCCTTCATCTAAATTAGGGGGGGGGGAGAAATGAATTTTCCAATCGGGGGAGCCCTTCCGGGCTCACTCGACGCCGGAGAACCGTTCGGGGTTACTCCGCGCTTTTGAAAATTCATTCCTCCGCTCCTAACTGAGATTAAGACATGAAACCGATGTCATTTATTAAAAATACAATTCTCGATCGGTAGGCTTTGGTTTCATTCCTTCATCTCAATTAGGG